TTCATTTTTCTCCTTCTTTCAATGTCTGTTTGTTTGCAGGGCGGGTGCCCGAATTTTTTTTTGGGGGGGTCTTTTTCTTTTTTTGTTTTTTTTCAACACAAATAAACTTTTTTTTTTTTTTTTTTTTGCAGAGTACCAGTTGTATTAGAAAACCGCGGGTCATTTCTGGGGGGGGGGGGTGCGCACCCCCTGCACCCTCCCCCTAGATCCGCCCCTGGTTTAAAACACTTAAAAATAAATAGTAAAATGTAAAAAACAAACTAACAAAAGTAATTCATGACCCTGCATCACGCTACGGGGAAGTTGATTGTGATTGGCTTATTTGATTGACATGTTTGACAACGTGGACATGCCTATCGCCACGGACAACTATCATGGTCACTATACCATGGCCCCTTTTGTTTCTCCTTCTCTACGCTTTCTTGGATAAGGAGCCTATCAGAATAAAAGAACCACCAATCGGAAGTGGCGCCATTCTACCAGAAGGAGACAACTTAGAGGATAAACAAGGAAGTTCCTTTCGTGACAGATTATTTGTCGCTAAGGAAATATTTCCTTATATCTTATTCCTGCTTATTACGTACTTTTCAGAGTATATTTCGAATCACGCCATTATAACAACGATAGCATTTCCAAACGCACCGTTCAAACCCCGGGACCATTATCCATACTACATACTTTCTTATCATATCGGCAAGTTTATGGGCCGTTCACACTTACTATTAGTTTCCGCTGTTTGTCCTAAACTAGTTCAACACGTCAGAATCAGACGGACTTGGATTTTAGCTTTGATAGAGTTCCTACACGGGGTTTTCTTCTTCCTCGCGTCTTGGTTTCGATTTGTTCCGCGTGTGGAAATCATTATTGCCTTATGCGCGACCGAGGGTTTTACAGCAGGCTCGATGTACTTGAACTCAGCTCACACTGTTTCAGATATGATTACTGATCCTGAAAGGAGGGAGTTCGCACTTTGTTTGCTGACTGTGGGTAACGCGTGTGGAAAGCTCAGCGCAGGGTTATTAGGTCTATTCCAAGAACCTTTTCTTATGAAACACTGCATGGAGGATTTAAAGCTGGGGCAATACTGTTTGACGAGACATGCTCATGCAAAGTATGGGTTGAAAATAAACATGTTAATTCTACCAGGGGAGAGATTTAAGCAAGCAGGTTGTTAGACAGGTGTCTGCATTCGTAAATATAACATCAACCCGTTTTAACACATGACAGGTTAAAGGAAGTACACTTTTGATTCCCTTGACATGAAAGCTAAAAATTATGAGGCATTCAGATGGATGTCGTTTGTCAACTAGTGGATAGTTATAAAGGTATGTTAAAAACTGCAGCAAAAATCGTCTGCAACTTTTCTAGTTAGATATGTAGTATTTCAACCACATCAGCAAACAAACATCTGATTATAACCACGCCAATTCTTAGTCTCGCTTTTCTAAATGACTCGATACATACTACCTTCTATCATCTCGTCAGAATGACCCTGCCTTTCGATTAAGGAGCCTTGGAGAAAAGTCTCTCCATCGCCCCATTTGTTCAAAAGGTGGATAGCGCTGTCCGATGGATAAATCTCTATCGACTGGATAGTGCAATTGGTTTCCCAAACACTTATCCGCTGGATGGTGATTTATCCAGTGGATAGCGCTATCCAACGTTTAGACAACCGGGCTTAGGGTTAGGGTTAATAATACTAATTTTAGAGCGGCAGCTTTATAATATTTATGCAAAATGCGACGAAACGAAGCATAGAGGTGGCAAAACGATATTACTCCTTCACAATGCCAGTTTTGTTTTTGTTTCATATCCTTACGTTAAAGAATGACAAGAAAGTTCCTGGATCATTTAAACATTCCGTACTCATGGCAAGCATTCAAGTCAACTTAAGCCCATTAGAAGCATCACCTCATAGAGGAATTTGAAAATTTTGCACCTGCAAAAGCCTGTAGGCCGACCAAGATGTCCCAGGCAGAGAGGACGAAAAATGAAAGAAACATCATTTGCTTCTTCCTTTTCGGAATCCTGTCCCTAATTTACGATGAAATTTGCCTGATAGCAGCCGAAGACATTCTTGCTGGATCTAAAATCGCTACCACAACAGTAATTCTATCCATCGCGATACCAGTTCTTTCCGTGAAAGTCATCGCACCGTGGTTTTTCCAGCGCGTGTCGTATATGAAGAAAATCGCGCTGGTGGTCGTGTTTCTGATAGCGGGACTGGGAACGCTTGTTTATTCCCCACACATCCCAGGAAGACTTGCAGGCGTGGGTGTGGTTGAGTCCGGTGTGGCTACAAGCGAAATCACGTTCCTCTCACTGACTGCGTTTTATGAACATATCACAGTGAGTGCGTTTGTGGCTGGTGTCGGAGTTGCGTCATTCGTTGGACCTCTTTATTACACCAGTAAGTTTAGGCAAATCATCCATGTTTTCAGTATCAAAGAATTGCTGGAAAGTCTAATATATATGCTCTTGGCTGAACGTTTTTGGCGCGAAAGATAATTCAGTCTACAAATAGCCTGAGAATCTTACGTGCTCTGACCAATCAAAGATATAGAAGTTCGGGCCGATCACTTTTTAGGGGGTAAAAGAAGTGCCCTACTCCCTTCTTTAAGCTACGCTGCATTTTCCCAGGCAGCCTTAGTTTCTAACCAAAGGGCCTAAGCCGGTCACCTCTTAGCGCCTTTTAAGTCTTTATAATGCATACAAATTAATTACTTCAGTTTCGACTACTTTAAAGTCATGATTGTTTACAGGGGCGGATCCAGGATTTTTTTTAGGAGGGGGTGCACTCGTCTCTTGCTCTACTTCAACACCAATAAACCATAGCTTTTTTTTTTTTTTTTTTTTTTTGGTACCAATTTTTTTTGGAAACCCACGGTGCTCTCCGGGGGGGGGGGGGGGGGGGCCCCCCCGCCCCCCCCCCCCCTTTCCGCCCCCCCGTTTTCAACAAAAAAAAAAACAAAACAA